GTTTTCCTCTATCAGTATCGTTTCCTGTTGTTTTCAAATTACAATAATTTGTACCTTATTATTATTTATATCCTTATCATTACTTCTAACTAATTAGTCAAGGTAAAACAAAACTGCTTACCTTGTTCCAATGGGTTCTGCCAGGGCCACTGGTGAATTTCTTTGGTGCAACTCTATCTGCAAAATCTTGAAGGGGATAATCCATAAATGATTAATACTTTCTTTACACAAAAATATTTAATGAAGATGCAAACGGTTACAGAATATTTACATAATGAAAAAGGTTTTAATTTTCGCACGACGCAGCGTGCGACTTCTCAGTTCCGAGTTCTCGTGATCTCTAGCGAGAGTTCATAGTTCGAGATGACGTCACTCAGCCATCAGATCTCAGTAAGTGTTGAGTTGCAACATACCTAAAACATAAATGATATTCTGATCTTTCGCAATTTTACAGTCGAAAATTTAAATGTACTGAATAATTTATTCCATTTAATATCAACTAATATTTCCTGTGGAAAATAACCTGCATGCTTTATCATGCTACATCTTTCGTCTTCGAGTTAAGTAACCATCTTTGGTGTTGGCATGCTTTGATTTTAGTTTCCTGTGATAATAGTGTTTAGTTGAGTAACCATCTTTTGTGTTGGCATGCCTTGAATATTATTATCAGGGACATTTTTATCTCCAGTGCACGAGAATGTGTATCGGAAATTCTAAAGGTTAGGTTATTTAATTGCTCAAACACTCGAGGGCTATCTGCCTAAGGGAAGGGAAGCCTTCGTGGTGGACTTTCTAAGGGAAACTGGCTCGTATACACGTTACAGATGGGGAAAACCACAAAAACACCCATGCAGCCAGGCCGTTCGGGGGATTCAAGCCTCCGACCGAACTACCGGTGTTCAGCGACTTTACCGCTCGGCCACTGGTGGGCTCTCGGAAATTCTAAAGATATGTTCTTTTTAGATATTGCTGTTGAATTGAATTTTATGGTTTAAGTGCCAAGAACATGATATTTAATAAATGAAGGTAACACCTAAAACATTAAAAAAAGCCTTCTTGGGCGTAATTTAAAATTTAAAAGCTTTCAGATGCCTTTCCTTTAATTAGCGTGGGCTTATCAGTCTCTTCTTCTCCATTCAGACTACAAGTAAAAAATTTTACAATAGTGTTCTGTTACTTTTTTCTTCTTCGTTTTTGCTTTTCAGTTTTTTATAACCATTCAGAGAGTTTTTCCCTATATCCCTATCTCTTCTAGCCATTTTACTTCATTGTTTAAAAATAATGTAAAAAATTATTTCGTAGATTAAGCTTCAAAATAACAACCCCCACCTCAAAAAGAAAGTTCCTCTTCCCCCTGAATCTTTTTGCTTTATCCAAGTTAATTATTCTTTGTACTGGTTCAATGTCTTTCATCAGTTTGATTATTCTTGACCAGAGCCAAAAAGTACAGCCTCATAATATTGTACATATAAATATAAATATGCAGGTTAGCATTTGATTGGTTGTAAACGTGTAAAATTGCTGTTCGGTGTACTGCCTACCCTATAGTTGCCTTGAACTAAAAATCATCAGCTTTGTATAAAAACTTTATGGATATTCTAAAACATGAAATATTTAAGAGAAAAATTTCCTGCAGCACAGTGTGGCTAAGAATGCTATTCTACTGAAACAAAAACATGAACAACTGTTGCCATTCACACAAACTGAATAGTAAAATAAAGTGTGTTGCCAGTAACAAGATTATTGTAAAAATCATAACATAAAATTAAACAGTGAGAAAATAAATGAGGCAAAGAAAAAAAGAAATGCAAATATTAAATATGCATCCAACAGCCTAGATGCATATTTTACACTGTAAGATAAATGTAAACTTGGACACGTTAATTCCTATAGGCAATTATAGTTATTGGCTGTTGATAATATTAAGTGCTGAAAGATATATGTGCTGGAGTTAAATAGTAATCGTAAAATAGAAGGAAAATAAGTATAAATTGGCCCTCATGTATACAGAGTGTCCCCTAAATGGTGCGACAAACTTTCTGGGAGAGATAGGGCACATCATAAGGATTAAGAACTGCGTAGGAACTCATGCCCAGAAACGTCACTATACTCCGCCAGGGGGTGCTGTACAGGAGAGTGCTTGTGGAAAGTGAGGATTGCCTCATTCGAGTGTTAGGCACCATAAAAAGCGCATAGAATGCTATATGAATGTAGAGCTTGCAGACATGCACTTAGTACATGGCATAACTGAGGGACGAGCCGCTGCGTGCATTTATCGAAAACCTTTCCCCGACACACATTGACCACACCACAGTTTGTTTGCACATCTGCATCAAAATTTGTGCCACTATGGGTCATTAAGAAATGGCAGGACAAGTGAGGGCAGGCTACAATTGACTCACTCGGCCATTAGGGAAGAAATTGTGTTGGATACGGTGGAGAATAATCCAAGGACCTGCATACGCGCCATTTCCTTTTAATTAATAATGTCTCGTACCAGTGTCCAGCGTGTCTTGAATGCCGAGTCCTTCCATGCCTTTTGTGTTTGGTTTTTTTAATGGTTTTTTTAATTATGGCAAAGCACACTAGGGCTATCTGCCTAAGGGGAGGGAAGCCTTCGTGGAGGACTTTCTAAGGGAAACTGGCTTGTATACACGTTACAGATGGGGAAAACCACAAAAACGCCCATGCAGCCAGCCCATTCGCGGAATTCAAACCTCGGACTGAACTACCAGTATTCAGCTACTTTACCGCTCGGCCGCTGGTAGGCTTTGTGTTTGGTATGAACGTGTGTGTTTCGCACAGTAGTTTCTGCAAGAAAATGCCCGTGATGTTAATTTCCTAGCTTATGTGTTGTCCACGGATGAAACCACGTTCAATAGGGATAACGTTTTCGATCACCATAATCAGCATTTGTGGGCTCAAAAGAAACCCCATGGTTTGTGGCACCACAACACTTCAAAGTTAATGTATGGACGTCTGGCTGATTTTGGACTGGATGTTTGTAGCCATTTGAACAGATCATTCCCACATTGATGGATTGGGCATGGTGGATTGATTCCCTGGCCTTCACACTCACCAGATTTATCCAGCCTCGATTTGTTTTTGTCAGGAGCCATTAAAAGTGTCATGTATCTCGATCCTGTTGTGTTTGAAATGGATCTGGAGGCAAAACCCGCCTGCCTAACTGCTACAGTCAAAGAAACTCCCGGTGTATTCGAACATGCGTAGCAGTCAGTGGTCTGTCAGTGTCAGGCATGTTTGCCGTCTGATGGTGCAAAATTCGAGCATTTGTTGTAACATTCAAGCTGTCATACACCATTTGTATGCAAGTCCAATAAATGCTTCAAGTTAATCACTCTCTTTTTTCGTTTCCCATCTTCTACCTCTGCTACCACTCACCCCTGACATTTCCGGGCATGGATTCCTATGCAATTCGTAATCCTTATGGATGTGCCCTACCTCCCCCTGAAGTTTGTCACAACATTTACGAGGCACCCTGTATATCGGGTAAGAAATTGTAAGTTGAATTAAAATAAGCAAATTAGAAATAGGGGGAATAATTATTTCATTTATCTGAGTTCACAAATTATCTGTTAAATCGATATCAAGCAGTTATCTTTCACCAGTTAATCAGTATATAATGTATTTGCATTAAGAAATTTTATTTTTATATATTGCTGTATTATGTACAATAGTATAGCCTTGATTTATTGTGTGCATTTTTTTTTCAAAAACAGTTGGTCATGATTACCGATGAGGTTTGATCAGTTTGCGAATTTTATCATTCATTTTAGGAATGATCTTGTTCTTAAGAAAGTTGAATCATACCACTGTTTAAAATGATGTTCATTGAAATTTCAGTTTTGAAAATCCATGTTTTAAAATAACACTGATTCTGTAGATTGATTGTATAAATTCTTTAAATTCATTTATCTAAAAGCTTTTCATCTGATAGGGCCCTATAGATAGGATCGTTGAAAAATTCTAATTTATTCCAAGCTCTGTTTCGTTGACAAAACAGAGTGGTTGAATGGAAGGTTTTGTGTTGATTCTCATATATAACATGAGTGTAAGCTGATTTCCTTTAGACAAATTAATAACCTTCCAGCACTTTGCAATAAATACTGCCCAGACCTAATTCAACTGGTACCTATCATGCTGTTGTGAACCTTTGCATGGTGCATGAAATCATTTTTTGATTTTTCTTAAAGTTATGCTAACATTCAAGGTATCTGTGAGAAATATACTTGAAAAATGCTCAATAGTTCAAAATTTTATATATTTTGTTCTATATTATTTAAAAGCAATAATGCTGCATTTTTACTTGTCTAAATTTGTTAGTTTTAATTTGTACTAAATCAAGCAGCTAATGTGTAAAATACTGATAGTTAATCCCAGATAAGATGGACATCCTCCAGCTGAATAAGCAAGCTGTATCATAAGTTTTTTTGGGGGGGATCGAGAGGGACAAGAAAAGGAAGTGTAACAAAATATAGGTCAGTTTCCCATAGAAAAACCTCCTGAAAGGCATCCCTACCTATGAACAGATTGCTTTACTTTGCGCTGCTGAAATAATCCACTCCATGTTATATTTTTTTGAGCCCATCTTTGTACATTTTCTTTTAAAATGTATTAATTATGCTTGATCCTTAATTTATGGACATCATTTGTGCAGAAAGAGTGTTAAAATAAGGGAACTGCAGAAAAGTGGCTTATATTCTTTTCAAATACAAATCTGTATTTGAAAATTTAATTTGTTACTGTTGCAGTGTGTAAGCTTCGTGCAAAAATAAATGTGCGAAGTCTTATAATTTTAAATTAAATAATGCACTTAACACTTTTCAATCAGTTGTATTGCATTTGAGGTATGCATTCATATCATATTGAGTAGGCTATTTTCGTTATTCATAATAATGTTACTGAATGTAGCAACTATTATGCAAATAAACTGTGTATTATTAAAAACTTAATTGTGCTTCTTTTATGCATTTTTTTAGGTCATGAGCTTAATTGACTTCTTTTCTTCTGAAGATATCTTTATTGCCTATGGACCAGAAAAATATTCACATGATGATTTTGACCTAGATTCTGAAGGTAAGGTTTGTTACTGGTATTTTTATTTATTACATTGTTATGTGATGTTTAGCAGGTCGTCAAAATATAGAAAAAGATTGTATTTGGATAATATACGAAAGCATTTTTCAAGAATGCTGCTGTTAATATTTTTCAGACTTCTGCTATTGAATTCCATAATCCTGCATGCAGCTGTTGCTGAATATTCAACATAGTACTGTAATTTCTTTTTATGGCTCGGGGGAAGGGGGCTAGTATAACAAGTGCAGGCAACTTGAAAAAACTTACTGGCACCTTTTTCCAAGCTTCCCATTAGGTTCCATGGCATGAGGATCCTGTACCTTTTTTCAGGTTAACAGTCACCAGGACACAAGAATGCCTTGACATAAAGGCAGAGATGTCCTTGCACCTTACGAAGTTTGTTGTCATAATCACCAAACTTCGTAAGGTGTTTGGTGATTATGATACCAAACTTCGTAAGGTGCATCAAGGCTGCTGGGACACACGTGTGAAGATCTTAATCTTGGCTACGAGTTGCCTTCTTGCATAAAGCTGGCATCGTGATAACAGTTAATAAAATTATCCATTTAGCAGGAATGAGAGTTCTTTACTTTTAATGCAATGGAATAAAGACTTAGATCTAACACTTATGAATTTCGTTGATTTAATAACAGGATTGAAACATTGAAAGTAATAGGGTTCTTATTAGTATAACTCTCTTCTTTGTTAACGGTTATTAGAAATATTTTTTATTTTTCTTTGTGATGGCTGGCTGACAAAATCGTAGATACTCCAAATGAAAGAAGACATTAATTCAGACTTTCTTACAGAAAAAACAACATATTTTATTAATATCAGGGTTGCCACGCTATCTGAAAAACCGAAAAAAGTCAGGGAATTCGAAAATGACTAAAAATGTCGGAGAAAAGCAGGGAATTTAAATATTTTAGTCAAATTTGCATCCGAACAAAGAATTGTCAGAACAGGATATTGCTGATCTCCGAATATAAGATTAACTTTTGGTTTCATAAAAAAGTGTTTGTTGAATATAAGTATTTTATTTCAGACTTATATTTAAATAGTGTAAGTTTTTGTGTAAAATAACTGATGCTAAAAATTTTAGGTGTAAATTATAATTGATATTTCTGGTAAAAAAAAGTATTTTAAATTATTATTTAGCCTTTACTGTTATTTGTATTGAATTTTTATGTTGATAATTGATGTGTGTAAGCCATCCCGGCATTTATATAAAAAAATAATGAAAAAAAAAAACAAGAACTGCTAGCTGAGTTTTTTAGTTTGTTGCCAAGCAGGTGCGGGGAAATTAAATAGTAGCGTCAAACTGACATAGTGTGATTTGATTATACTGCAGAATTGGCAAAAGTCTTTTCTTAGTCCTAGCCACCCAGGCAGTGGGTAGATAGTAAGTCCCGAGTATTAAGAATTATAAAAATTGTATTGCCAAACTGGCAAAAATTGTTTTTATCGCCAACCAGGCATGGAGGTAGATAGTAAAATTGACATGTTTAAAATTCCGTTGTATTGCCTAACTGTCAAAGGTGTTTATATAGTTATACCTAACGAGGCTTGTGAATAACGAGTTCAAACGTCAGCCCGGTGTAGTACTATTTTATTTTGTGCCAAACTGGCAAAGTTATTTAAGTAATTCTTTCCAATAATTTCTAATAAATGCCTTATGTGTCATTTCTGATTCCCAAAGCAGTAAAATAAAAATAGTAATCAGTCATGTAGGCTAACCATTTAATATAATTATATTCACCAAAATACCATTGGTTATTGTAATTCAGCTTTTAATCTTTAAGTAATTAACTTTTTTTTAATGTTGTTAGTATCATTTAATGTGGCTTCATCGTATTTGACAAGTTAATTTCATATTTCACAATTTAAGCCTCGCTTAAATTCTACATTTTTAATACAAGTACGAACTTTTAGATTCAATTTCAAAAGGAAGCTTATTAAAGGTAACTTGTTCAACATGTCATATTAGCTAGGACTAAAAAACGGGATTTAAAAGTACTAGCAGAAGAGTTAGGCTTAACCGTGAAACCTGAATTTAAAATTGCTCAGTTGCATAAATCGATTACTGAAAGTCCCAGTTATAATGAGGAGTTTACTCGAGAACTACTGGCTACAATTAGAGAAGAAAGAGAAAGAAAAGAGCGAATTAGAGCCTTTGAGCTACAGAAACTTCAGTTGGAAGCAATGGCTGCAACAGCACAGCCCGTAAAACTACACAGTTACCTGAGCAGCCTTTAAAATATCATAATTCATGATGTCATGCCACGTTTCAACCCTAAAGAAGATGAAAAAAGTTTATTTCTGGTGTTATTTGAGTGTCAAGCTAAAATTATGAATATACCTGCTGAAAATCAAGTGACTCAACTTATCTCATTGCTGCCTCCTGATATGTTCTTATTGCGAGAACCAGAAGAGGATGCAAAAAGATAAAATATGTAAAAATTTTACTGTTGCAACAATTTAAATTGAGTGCAGACAAATTTCGACAAATTATTAAACACCAAAATCTACTAAAGTACTTGGTATGATTTCTACTACGAATTAAAGAATTATTTGAAGGATGGCTAACGGATTAAACATTAAAACTTGAACAGCTAAAAGATCTCATGTGGTTGATCAAATTAAAAAGCGTACTTCTCCTGATTTCAAAGAACATTTTACGGATGAAAAAACAACCATAATTTCACCTAATGAGATGGTTAAGAAAACTGAAAATTTTGAAGATGTGATAAAAACAATATAACCAAAATTTTCTGCCAATCAAACTGAGAGAATTAACAAAGGATCATTTGAACCTCGTTATGATAATTTTGTGAAAAAAATAGAGCATCCGCCTCATTTTAAGCATTCTGATAAATGGGATGATGAAAAATACCAGAAAGATCATCGACAAAGTAATCAGTCCCAAAAAAAAACCAAGAAATTTAGGACAAAAGATATCAACCAGTTGTTCAAGTATGGTCATGCGCATTTTAAGCCTCAGTGCCCTCGCTTAAAACCAATGAAAAGGTAAATGGTATCTACGAGTGATGATGTTCGAAACATATACAGTTAACGGTTTGTTAAGGGTATGAAGTACCTTTCTGAGACACTGGAGCCACAGTAGATGTTATTTCTCGAAAAGACATAGATAATGCAAAAATGACTGGAGAACATGTCTGGGTACAATATCTTTTAAATGACCATTTAATATATCTACCGTTAGCTGAAGTTGAAATTAATTGTGAACTTATTCATATGAAGACAAAGGCAGCTGTTGTTACAAATGATCCTAGCAGATACGTATTGGGTAACAAAACTGCTCAATTGTTCAAAGATAAACCATTTTTAAATTTAGAAAGGATAAATGCGGTTTTGACAGGATCTCAAGTAAAAAGATCTCGGGATGAAGATCGAAGCAGAGACATCGAAATGGAGGAACTAGAACTGATGGTTATTGAGACTGACGAAGATATTTTACCGCAAACTGATGAGAAAACTGAAGTTATTGATATGGAAGTTGACTCACCTTGTTTGCTTGGTGATTCATCTTCTATGGATAGTGTGAGTGATTATTTCCCTACAAGTTTCCCAGTTCCTTCTCCAAAAAGCAAAGTGTTTGATCGTTTGTTAACAGCAGATCAAAGAACTTCTGAAAAAGAACTCATGAAGGTATTACTAAAGGTAAGAAATTAAAAATATGTTTAGGATCTAAGCACACGTCAGAAAACTTAGCAAAGAGGCATGATAAAGGATACTCACAGTTGCCACATTCAATGAGAATTCAAGTAGCAGATAAGAACAAGAGTTCATCTCGCAAAGAGCAAAAGCTATCTGACAAGAAAGAACTGACAAAATTAAATGATTCTCAGTTAAAAGCTCTAGATGAATTGCCAAGTTCTGGAGTTGAGATGCAAGTCAAGGAGAAGTTTTTAAAGAACCAAACGCAGAGAGTGGTTGAGGATAAACTCCACAAACCTTTATCACTCCCTGAGTTTCAATTGATGTTTCAGAGTCGGTTGGGTGCCTTTTGCTCAGAAGATGAAAAGAAAGACATCCGATTATCCTTGTAAGAAGTTACAGAAACTGAAAAAAGTACGGCACTTCCCTTCTGACAAGAGAATGTCTGCCTACATTGCGGTCCAGAACGTAATGTTATTTCGCGCATCGAATTCCGCTCATGACGATCAAATCCCTAGTGGCAAAAGTAATCTCCATCAACCAGTAAGAGGGGACATCCGACCTTACAGGCATTCAAGTGGTCAAACATAAAATGTAGACGCATTAGTAGCCTCCCTTATAAGTATGTATATGTAGTTTTCATTCTATTGTGTTATATCTGTGTTTGGAAAAAAAATTTAACTTTGTAGCAAAATATAAGTTATAGAGGGAAGAGAGGTTGTAAATTTGTTATTTAACAAAAATATATATTTATTATTGAAGTGGCAATGCCATATTTGTATGATGTAACAATTGCTCAGCAACGTAAGAAATTGTTTGAAATTAGAATTCTGAAGTTTGACCAGCTAGCAGATGTATGAAAATTTTCCAATTAAGAATTGTATGCAAATTACCTATCTCCGTAGACTAAAAATAAAATTTATGTTCTACTAAGAAGATTATTTGTTTTAACAATTACTGCAAAATACATTACAGCAGACATGACTCCACCTGCATTGCAATAACGAATTCTGACATATTCCCCCTTCAGCACAGCCCACCAACGGCCGAGCGGTAAAGTCGCTGAACACTGGTAGTCGCCGCGTTCAAATCCACGAATGGGCGGGCTGCTGGGTTTTCGTGGTTTTCCCAGGTTACTGATATGAGCCAGTTCCGGGAAAGGCTCACGAGGATCCCCCTTAGGCGATGCCTCGAGGCTTTGCCATAATCACACTCACTCACTCACCCCCCTTCAGCACGAATCGATTTTTTGTGAATAGTTTTTAAGTAAGAAGGGAGTAGAAAATTTTTAATTTACTGAGCCGAACACCTTGCGTCTCAACTGCAATATCTCGGCAATAGGGCTAATGAATGAAAATTTTTGAAAATTGCACCTAAACGGCACAGAAGCTATACTACTGGTTTTAAGCTTAATGTAATTTTACGTGTTGAACAAATTGGAAATAGAGCAGCAGCCCAAGAGTTTGGAGTGGACAAGATCCATTCGACGTTGGAGAACTGAAAAAGAACTTAAAAATATGCTACAAATGAAACAAGCCAAAAGAAGTGATACTGTAAAGGTGGTCAAATCTGTAGGACGACCTAGGAAACTGGATGAAGGAGCAGCGAGGAAAGGTAATGGCAATTGCGACTGTAAAAATTCGCTTACCAGCAAACTTTATGGTGAGACAAATGAACATAAATGATTTCAAAGGAGGTCCTTGTTGGTGTAGCTGATTTATGAAAAGAAAAAATATTTCTGTGCAAAATAGAACAACAGTCTACCAACAATAACCAATGGACTGGCAGGATAAAAAAAGCATATGTGACAGATATTATTGATAAACAAAAATTTCTTCCATCACAGATAATAAATATTGATGAAACACCATTAGCTTTTGACTCTTCTGCAAACAGAACTGGTGCAAAAACTGTATCCATGATTATGACAGATCATGAAGTCTTAGCTTATGCTGCAAATGGTGACAAGCTAAAGCAGATGATTATTTTTAAAAGGAAAACTATTCCAAAGGGAGATTTTTCTAATGACATAATTTATTTCTGCAAACAAGAATGGAAATCGTACATGATGGCTATAAAAAGTTTGGCAATGTCGTGAGGGATCTTTTTTCCAACCAAAAGGGTTGTTGATAATGGATTCCATGCTTTCTCATTTGCTTTAGTGATTGAAAACCAGATGTCAAAAACTGTCTACAACCTTAGCAAAAATTAGATTTGTCAGTTAATAAATCCTTCAAGATGAAGCTTTAAAGCTCAAGTCCAAAATTGGTGGGCATGTTGGATGAGTGAAGGATTGCATATGTATACCAAAAGTAACAAAATGGGTAGAGGAATCTTAATTGCAAAGTGGGTAGGAAGTGCATGGAAATCGGAGAAAACATCATCAATAACAGTGGGGTTCAAAGAAGCTGAAATTATATCCTCAGATAAAGAGACTGTAAACCAAAAGGATGAATGTGATGATCTGGAAGACTTGGACTATTTAGATCAGGATTTGCTAAATCTTTTTAATTCGGATAGTGTAGAATCAGATTTTGATGGCTTCATATGATGTACAGTTTGCTTTAATTATTTTTGTAAGTAAAATTTAAAATTTCCTTCTGTTATCCAAATTTAATATCTCATTGTTGTGATATTTTTTATAATATGGTATGAGTAATACAAATATGGACTTCTTTAGTGGGTGAATTTAAGTATATTCGTGAACGTAAGTATATTTTCAAAATTATTTTCAGTTAAAACCTATAATTTATTTTTGAGTTATGGTTTCATTTCATGCATTGTTCTTTTATTTATAACTGATGATCCTTACACTATTAGTTTATCATTCTTTTTAGCGTGTCATTTAATCCCGCCCCCTCCCCTTTTTTTCCCTGCATAAATTCTATAATTATGTTTAATGTTTTTTAAGTCATAAATACCAGGTAAAAACTCAGCATCCCAGGAATTTTCTTGAATTCCCTTTGCCCCACTGCCCTTAAGGATAATAATTATCTTTTTTAACTCTGGCTGTTAAGTGTATTATTAATGCCAAAAAAATCATTAGGCTAAATTATTTTCTTTTTGTGTACATATCTGGTATTCTGTGAAGACCAGCATCCTTATGATCTACAATCTTATCTGAAGATGCGTCTGAGAAACCCTGAAGTACTACCAGCTTGGTATCGGTTTTTAAAAAACATCTTGGCACATGTATATTTTCCAAATGTGGTAGTATTTTAATGAAGTTTTCCCACTGTTTGGCAACAACTGGAGGTAGTGTTTCATTCCAGTCTAGCTTAAGCAGCCATAACTGTTGCATAAAGATGTTTGCCTTAACAATAACAGGACCCAAGAGTCCAAGTGGATCAAAGCAAGGCCAACTATAGATATGTACAGACCTGCTCCACCGATTTGTAACATCACAATCGAAGGCGATCGTTCCTACGGCAGACGCAGGCGACTGTTTCATTTATGTCGTATGCAGCTTTTTATTTCAAACACAAAAGCCAAGTGAAATTAATTTTTACAACTAATATTTTGAATTTTAGGAATAATAATGTACTATGTTATATCGTAATGATATATAAATATTAAATACTGTTCTACTGATTTATCAAACAGAAAATAAAAATAAGATTCGAGTGATATTGTAAATTTAGCACAGCTGATTTAAATTAAACTGAAACATATCTTAACTTTTATATGGAAATAAAATGGAAACAAAATTATTTATAAAAATTATACGGCATGTTAATATCAATGAAAATATAATGTAAATAATGAACTAAGCATAAGACGTTTTCATTTTGTAATAAAAAGAGAAAAAATATGTTAAGGCTCAGAATATAAAATCATAATAATATAAAATCAGATGATTTTATATTGCTTAAATTATGCAGACTGATTTATACTGCTTGAATACTAAACAAACATATATAGTATTTCATAATAAAATTAATATCAACTCATTAATTCTAATATAATAAAATGTTGCTTTATAATTGTTTTTCAGTGCAATGATATTGAAGCAAAATGAACTGTTTCTTTTCTTTATTCCCATAAGGATTTTTCAAGATGCAAACAGAGATTCTAAAGTATTTTTTAATAATAAATACACATGTGCACATTAAGTGAAATACATAAATCTTATTAATATATTAAAAGTACATCTTAAAGTTAGTCTACATATTGAAAAAAAGATTCCTTCTAAAGATGTTTTATAGCAAAAACATTACACAGCATATCCAAAAATTTGTTTCAAATTCTCTTTAAAAAAAGCAAGATCATAATTATGCAATCAATCCCAATGAGCATCAAATCATGCTCCAAAAAATTCTTATGAAAGAACATCTGATTAAAAAAACACAATATTAAGCAATGAAAAATCTTGCGAGTCATTATGATATTATAAGATTATGATTAGCAAGTTGAAATTATCAGTTCACTTCTGCAATAAGTTGTCATTTGAATTTTTTAAATATTAATAATGGAACAGATTTTTTATTGTAGACTCTGATGTGAGGTCCACAAAAATAAACTTAATAAACTTGAATAAGTTTCTATGACTCAATGATATTACAATATATCATCTATATCATTCTATATACCAACATGGATATAGTTTACAGATGCTTATTATTCAATTAATTTAGACATTCTTTTTTTTTTTTCTTTTAAAAATATTTGAACTCTTTTTACACCACATACTATTCATTTAAAACATCAAAAATAAAATTACAAATTCACATATGAAATAAATACACAGAACAAAGAAAATGCTATTTTTATCTTCAACAAACACATAGAAGGGAAAGAAACTCAATGGCTTAAGGATTTAACTGAAAAATGAGTTCTTTCATAAGCTTTGAGCAAAAGAATAATAAAAGTTCAACATTTTGCACTCCCCAAAGTTACAGGAAAACAACTATGCTTCAGATAGCCCAAATCTTTGTTATATTCCTAATAAAATAACAAAATATCCTAAAACTCTCAGATTAATTTGTATTGCTTAAATTAATTAGATTGATTTATATTTCTTAAATATTAAAAAGATGTGGTATTTCATAACAAAATTTATAAACATATTAATTTTAATAAAATTTTGATTTACTATTATGATTTTATATGCAGTCCTATTGAAGCAAAAGCTTTTTTTTTTTTTTTTCCCCTTTCTCATGAGGACGTTTCAACATTCAATCCACATAACATAACACAAAGATACATTTTAATTATAAACATACAAGTGAACATTTCGGGAAATATATGAAAAAAAAAGTTTGATTTTAAAGATGTTTTAAAGCATGAACACCTTATAGGAGAAATCTTGTAGCATATCCAAAAATATAGTATAAAATTTTCTATTTTCATATCATGCTATAAAAAATTCTTAAGAAAGAAAGATCATCTCATT